TAGATTTGCCGGTAGCAATAGCACGGATGATGTTACTGTGCACAGGCAAGACGGGAAGGCCATGCAGTCGGTGTGCGAAGCCTGACTGCTCCTGGATCCCATGAAAAAAATGAGGGCATGGCTGGAACAGAATGCACGCTGCAGCACATAAACAGAGGCGTTACTTTCGGCACAAATGCAGACTCAGAAGACGTGTGTATCTCCACGGTGTATGCTCATTTTTAACTCCAGCTACAAGGCCACTATTTTTTAATGATAAATGTTTAAAGTTTGGAGAGGGAGAAGAAAGCAACCGCGGTTCAGCAGTGAGCTGTTTAGGAGCTCTGTGCATTTGTGCAGCCAACAGCGACGCAGTGAGCTGCTTCCCGCCCCGTGGGTCCAGACATCGTCCTGTGGTTACTCTGCACTACACCGCGTGGAAAATTATCGTCTCCTCTCCTCCAGACTGCCCTGGTAGTCGTGCAAGGGATGAAAGACGCTGTGGTACTTGGATGCCCATGGCTTGCTTCCCTGCCTTTGCCTAGGCAAAAGTAAATTAGCTTTCCCCTTTGTTTCAGGAAAATTAAGGGAATTACAGAAAAGGAGTAACAATACATTAAAAATATTGGCTAGCAAGTGCTATATCCTCGTCTAGCTGGAGATTCGAAAAGGAAATCCATTCTGGGCATTAACATCAGCATTTTCTGGATGCTGCAGTGATTATACTGCTGAATTTACTGCTAACGTCATCACTTGCCAAACACCCCCACAGACACACGATCCCCAGCTCACCTCGCACATCCCCTGTCAGGAGGACACCCCGTGACCATCTACTCCGGGAACACAAAACTTCTCTGTCCTCCGTTAGGAGCACTCAGCCGGCCGAGTCCCAGCCCGAGAAGCGCTGCAGGTCTGACGGTCCGTTTAAAGCAGCGGTGCGCAAGCGTGCATCGCCACGACCCCACAGCGGAGCCTCCTGCCTCTCCTGCAGCACCCGCTAAGGCTGAGCATCTCCTGCCTTTTGACTCCATCATGGCACAGGAACACCAGGCCAAGCAATAAATACCTCCGTTACAATTACTAAAAGGCAACTGATTCTCTGTCGATTGCTTTTACACTGCCCCAGCCACATGGAGCATTAAGCTGTTCGATATCAAGCTACTCGGGACGGGACAGAGAACGCACAGTCTGAGCAATTGGGGAAGCTCACGGTGGTGTTACAGGACCGAAGACCCGCGAGTCTTCTGTCGCGGCTTTCGTTCCTCCTAGAGATGAAACAGAACCGTCGGGTAACAGGTATCTTCTTACAAGACCGGAGTTGGCAGGTGCAAGTGGAAAATCCTGGGAAGCTCCGGTCGGTGCCGTCTCGCTGCGCTGCCCGTCGGATCCGCGGAGTCTCCTGCCCACCGGCTGGTCTCTGCAGGACCGGCCCCGGAGCCGCCGACCTCTGCTCCTGCCCCGGCTCGTCCGCGGCCAGTCCCGCACCTCGCATGCAGCGAGGGCACCTGGGGAAGGTATGTACCGGGAGAGTAAACCACGAGAAAGCTCATCAAAAATAGTGGATGCTGCTACCGCAGGCAAAGGTCTCCATCTTTTGCTGATTATTCCCTCTTCAAGAATACAGGACCTGTCTTAACCTGAATGCTCTAAAAGCTGTCGTATGTACACTCTGCTACATCTCCCAGGCTAATTCTTTTTTCCTGTTGTATGACTATTACTTCACTTTTCTTACCAGCACTGTATCATAGCTTGAACTTATTTAATAAAACCTTACACAGACTTCTCAAGAACCTTTATTGCTGTGCAGCAGCCCAGAGAGACAGAAAAGGGATTGTAACTGGGCAGATGGGGACAAATACGGTAACTTGTAGGAGAGGAATTACAAACACTTGACTAGCGTGACAAACTGCCCTGCAGGTAAATTTGGGAATGGAGGTACGGACCAACGCAAGGACGACAGCTTTATGCATACGTCTGTTCTCCTCATGCAAAGTCAAGCATCAGTACAAGACGGTCAGGACAAGACCACCCTCCCATCTTACTATCACTTTTTTTGGGCCAACAACATTCACAACTGATGGGACAGCAAGTTCAAGCACAAATCCCTGTCTGAAATTACTAACTCCTTAAGAGACCCCACATGAAATGGCTGCAGCACCTCCGAGTGCTCGGGAGCACGCCCCAAAAGGGATGTGTGAGAGGAGACGGACAGATGTCAAGCTTGAGACGGTTACAGTTTAAACACTCGCCGACACTCTCGTACGATGAGTATAAAAAATGGACACAAAAATGTACCAGAAGTAAATTGACATACTGTATTTATTGCACAAATTTCCCCTAAAATTGGGAATGGTTATTATAATACAAGTGCACATCTTGGGAAATATATACAAAAACAGAAGAGATAACAAGTATGTACATTTTACCCAGCATTTTACAAGTACCACCATCTAAATAATTTAGAGAAAGCAAAAAATTGTCATAAAACATCTATAACAACTAATAGGGAAAACATACGCAAGGTGTAAAATCCTTTCTTTTAAATATTTTTTGTTCTTAGCAGCCCAGTGTTTGCCAATTGCAACAAAAACAAATTTGCTAATTTGTGTGCCTAGTACACTTAGTTTTCAGCCAGAAAATTAAGACATGTTAATGGAGATTGGTAATAGTGGAAAAGAGAAATCAAACATTAGTTTTCTATTCACATAAAACAATCGCGATATACTTTTAAAAAGTCGATGCTATAGTCCTGTAAAAAATCCCTTTTTGTATTATTTAACAAACAGACGTACGTACCACGTTGTTCACGTACCCTAGAAGTTAACCTACAGAAAAACTTCCCATCACACGAGGGTTTTGGTTGAGTTTTGACCACAATACTGCTGGAGAGGGTGCCACCGCGCCCGGAGCCGCCGCTCGGCCCCGGGGGGCTCGGAGGGAACCGGCACTGGTGGGCGGACAACAAGGAACCCACATCCGTGGCCGCTCCGCCTGCGACTGACTGAACACATCGTTACGAGGACGTCAAGGGGTTGCATTAGGCAGAAGACAGCAGAGAAGGATGCCACCGAACAACCACCTTTTTCTCCTTCTCAAGTGAATACTAATTTCAAGCTGCGCAAGGGCCTTTCTTGAGAGTCAAATCCATTTCAAAGCAATACCAACGATTCGCCTAATAATGGTTAAATGGAGGAGAACGTAGCGTTTTCCTGTAAGGATGCATTATAAGCGCGGTCCTAGGAGGTGCCAGGATGACGGTGCGGCGCTGCCCAGCTACGTGGGCACGTCCCGTGGGCAAACCCCCGAAAGCAACCTGCACCCTTGGGGCTCCTCACCCGGACCACAGCGCCAGCACCCAGCCCAGCAGCACTGTCGTCATCAGGTTACAACTGCAGATCTATGTACAACGTTCAGAATCGTAGCTATTGGCTATATCACGTATCATAGCAAAGAGTTAAAAATTTGTATTCTGAGCTCAATCCTATATTTCATTAAAAATGTGTTTACACAACTGGGCCCCTATGTTTTGTGCTCATTCCAAAAGCCAGAAGCCAGATGTAATACAATTGTGTGGTGAAGGAAGGACATTTGAAGAATAGGGGAGAAACATATCCTTAGATCGCATATTAAACACAAGTTTCTTCCCTGCAGCAGTCAGCGTTAGATTTATATACAAAAGAGTTTCAAATGACACTGCCTGTATTAACGTTTGGTTGACTTACATAGACTCAGTCCCGCATGGAAAGGGGTGTGGGTTTGCCATGTAGATCTTCCCTGGAACAGAGTCTTAAGTTACAGATTTTAAATATTACTGAAAAAAACCTCTCTGGGTGAAAGCCTGGCCCCAGCAAAGGAAGGGAGGAGAGTTTTGTCGTTGACAGCAGTGGGGCAGGGATCTCTCCTATTGTTTTCAAGTTTATCAAACGGTTAAAATAGATTTGTATTTAAAATAACTCTGCAAACAACAATAGCAGGCGTGCTATACTATTGAAAAGATGATTACAGAATGACATATTTATAGAACTGTTTATAGAGTTTAGCGACCAAGTGAACACGTATCTCCTACTTCTGTGGATAATCCGTGAATTTCAATATACTGAGCATAATCAATGAAAACAGAACCTAAAAATCAGCAACATTAATTGGCTGCTAGGACAAATACACAAAGAAAAGCCTATAATGAAGTGTCCAGTTAAACTGAGGTAGTAGAGCCTTTGAAAACATAATCCACCTACCACTGTATATTTACATTACTTACACCAGATTGGGTCCATCAGCTATTCCTACAACTATTGTATATACAACGACAAAACAGTGATGGCTGAGTAAAGGAGAAATGCTGAGAATAAAATAAACAACCTTTTCTGCTGGTAATTACACAAGTGAGTAGAAAAGAGATTAGAGTCATCTGCATCAAGGGTATATTTGTCAAAAAATAATTTTGATATTACTATACTATGGTGTAACCAATGTTCATTTTTTGTAGAATGGTTTTTAAAAATATATCAATTAGTTACCTGAGCAATTAAGGGTAATAGTCTATTTGTTTTTTCCCCAATGCTTTGGTACAATTATTTCTAGTTCACTATTTCAATAGCTGACTGACTGCTGTAAAAAGAATATGATGTTGCAAGAACATTATAGACCATAAAAAAGTTAGAGGTAATAGTCACGTCATTCTGGGGACCCCATGGGGAAATTTCAGCCAACGTTATCTTTAGATTTTTTTTTTTTTTTACATTTTGATTACGTTGTGAAGGAAAAGCATCACTTAGTATAAAGCAACATTTAAACATTATAAACATTTAATACTGGTTACAACAGCTGGCCAAGAAAGAGAATCTCCATCGCTAGTTTGTCTGTTGGCCTCTTCCTCCCTCCTCCCTGCCTCCCCCTCCCCAAGCCCCCCACTATTCCCTCTCCCCAGGAGAAAGAACATAAATAACTTTTGGAGCTGAGTGTCATTAATAAGCTTTTTACAAAACAAACCAACCCCCCACCCCCCTGCCCCCAACCCCTGTTCTTCCTCTGGGAAGTATCCAGAATCTGACTATGACATGAAAAAGTAGAAGTTGTTTACAAATCATTGCAGCTTGAGAATTACAGATCTTAATGAGATCCTAATCAGTAGAAGCCAGTCTGAAGACAGCTGCTGCATTCTCTTGTTAAGTTTATAATTGGCGATAGCATCGTGTATTTCTCAAAGCAGTTCTTCCTCACGTTCTGCAGTATAAATTACAGTTAGCCACTGTGGCAGAAACTGATAAAAAATTCAGATCTTCAGCTTTTGCTAAAATCTTTGCTTTTCTGTGGCTGAAATACCGGGCTTACTCATTTTTCTTTTTTCCTTTCTTTACCCTTTTTAATAAATGACCAAGGGGGAGAGGAAAAGTCTCCAACTGTTTGCATAACGTGCAGTCATATATGGAGGTGCTGCAGCTCAACGAGCAGTTTGTTTTAGTTGCTTCAAAGAGAAAGAAGCCAGAACAAGTTGTCTTCCACTTTGTTTCCAGAGGGGAAAAAAAGTCAACGTCTACGGCCTCTGGCATTTTAAAGTAGTATCTGGGCAACGTACGGAGAGTGAGTGCTTGCTACAGCTGCCAGTAAAGGGAGGTCGCTGGATTCAATCCTAAAAGGAAGCAGAAGAGTCACATTTAATCTAACTCGAAACGTAGCTGGGCTGAACACGTGCGTTAGTGACCACGTTGCCTGCTCAAGACCAAGTGTTTCTGCTTGGGCCACGAGTGTATACAGCTCCGAGCCGCAGGACATTTTTCCGGTAAAATTGAAGCCAATTGTGCTTCTCTCCTAATGCAGCACTGCCAGCTGGGTTACACGCTCCAGCCACCAGATTGTTTCTAACATCCCCTCCAGACGTGCCTGCTCGTGCTGAAGAGCGACAGCTCTGCACTGTCAACGCTGCCTCCAGCTCCTGCCTGCCTGTTTGGTTTTTTTTCTTTCGCAGGGCTAACAAACTGGTGAGAAAGCAGATGGAGGAAGGAAAACCAGCAGATTCCTTCCTACCCTCGAAGTAAAGGGAGCAATGGTTAGGGGACAAAGCACAGGATCACAGAACGAGGCTAAACTACTTCTGCAGCTACCAAGGAAGCCCTGGCACCGTGCTGCAGCTCATCCTGCTGCAGCTGCTCCCCCATCTCCAGCTCCACACATGCTCCGTGTGCCTTCCTGCTCACCCTGTACTCCCCTGCATAAAAAGATATTCAGAGCCTTCCTATAAACACCCCTTAAATAGCTTCTCTGCCTGTGCCCCACACCCACAGAGAGGTATTATGTGCCTTACATGACACAGAGGGTGTTTTCTGCCATGTAGGGTAAGTCAACCTGGAGGAATCAGGTGCCCCACGTTGTTCAGGGATGACTGACCAACTAAGGAAGGAGTCTGATAAGCTTTGGAGTGCTGAGCCCATCTTCCTGCCCGGAGGGAAGAGAGAAAGGCTGGGGGATCCTCGGGATCAAGCAACGGCTAAGGAAAAGCCTGCGGCCATGGGCGATTTATGCCACACTACGGTTCCAGTCCCATTTAGGAATCCATTTCGCTGTGCTTAGAACAAGCCCAGGCGGAGGATTTGGCACCAGGAAACCCAGGGCAGCACTGCTCGGAGTAAGTTTGTGATCGTACCCCAGCACCACGCCCAGCTCCTTGACGTGAACTCTCATCTGGCCCTTGAGATACTCGGACAGCATCTTGCTTTTGAAGTAGAGCTCCTGCAGCCGATCTTCCAGGTGCATAACACACTAGAAAGCAAAGGGAGTTGTGTCAGGGAAAAGACGGCGCTATATCCAAACCGCACCCAGCCTCAGAGCGAAACAGCACAGACCCCATACGTCTACTGCCTTTTCCGTGGCTGCGTCTAGGTGAATAATTAGTAAGACATTCACTGGCAAGACTCTTACTTTTGAGCAGAAGCCTTTGATTGCATGTTAAATCAGAATTAATGAGACAGCTGTCTTAATCACAGAGCCGTGTTTAAATGGACAGCTCCAACAGCTACATCAGGGGATGCACTGGCTACTAGAATTGTTGCTACGGATAAATACACTAGGCAAAACCTTACACCCTCTTTAACCTATGAAGTGAAAGGATGCTTTAAAAAAACATCACCCTCTCAACTGTCAATCATACTTACAAAGTTTGGAGATAAATTATGCTTGTAAAGCTGAAGGGTGGAATGAAGCAGGTTGGAGACGAGACTCGAGACTAACACTTCTTTTCCCAGCTTATTATCAATCATTCGTCTCTGGCTGCTGGCCACTTGCACCGTCCATTTGTCCGTGTCTGCAATAATGCAGACGGCTTCTGCAATCGGTTCATCCAGAACAGGATGCTAGAAACAAAAAATGAATAGCAGAACCCTGAGAATGACAAATGACAACAGTCTTTTCACAAAACATCGCCATCCTCAATAGCAGCGATAGCATCCCAGGCACTACTTCATCTAAAATACAGTAACGTGCTAACATTGCATTCCACCTATTAAAAACAGCTTTATTGTAAGCAAGGCACAGTCTTAGAAGGATAGTCACTATTTTACATTTTCTTCCAGGCTTGAAAGTGTGTCGCTGGCTGACAATTACATCTTTTGATATTTGATACAAAGAGTTCTGACATATCTAAAGTACATTTTAAACCCCTAAAACTTAAAGTACCAAAAATCCAACTTGCTGTTCAACATGGCTGTGTTAACGAGGTCGGTTTTATTCCCAGTTGTCACTGGTTTCCATTTATGGGAGGGCCAGCAGAGGGAGTCAGGAACCAAGCCTGCGCCCAGCTCCTCCATTCCTTCCAAGTAGCATTTCACCTCTCTAAGGCCATGGAGGTTTTAAAAAGGGAGTATTTGGAACCCCATTGTCCTTCCCCAGCACATTTTTGGGGCTGGACTGTTAGGAAGCATCTCCTTCCAAACAGTCCCACAGGGAGTTCACACGGGGCTAGGATGCAGTTACTATTTTACTTGAAGATAAGCATATAAAATCTTGCTTGGTCCTTTTGTAGCCTCTCAATCTTTGACTTCTGCAATTGAAATATAAATCTCCTGATGGACACGCACCACAACTAGGTTATATTTCACACACATTAGTTTCACAGCAGCAGCCACCTCACACTGCTGCCTCTGTTGCCTGAAGTTCAATTATGCTTCACAAATGCCTTAAACATTCGGCCTAAACCACAATGGCTTAAAACAGCACCTAGAACAGCCGCGCAGGGAGCAAACACCCCTGCCACGGCCCACGGGGCTGGGCACAAGGAAAGGGGACAGTAACGTGGAGAACAGCCGCAGGTGCGATGCACATCATTAACTGGAGAGGTGTGGAAGAAGGGGACATTTCGGAGTCTCCCAGGGGAGCGCTCAGAGAAGTAGACTGCCTGCTCACCAGCCTGTGCGGGGGTCTTTCCCCATTCCCTTGGGAATAAACTAGAGGGGAGCAGAATCATGCTTTTCAGTGACAGCCTGCTTTCCACTCCTCTCCTGGTGACTATAAAAGGGGTAGGCAAGACCATGCTTCCCAGTCATGCCCCAGTTCATCTAGGGAAAAGCTTCTGTGGAGCAGAGATGTTTTCCAGCACACATGAGAAGCGTGAGTCCCCTTAGGACAATTATCTTAATAATGGCTTCTCCTTTTCCAGTGAAGCCGGCACTGTCGAACACTTTGACTACAATCCTAAAAAAAGGAGCAATGTGCCCAAAATAGTAAGCATTCCCGATGGCTTCACTGCAGAGAACATGTTCTGCCCCACAAGCAGCAGCATGCTGGTTAGACGTGCATGGAAAGAGGAGGGAGCCAAGGGAGCTTCTGCAAAACCACTGCAGGAAGACTGTGCCCGGGAAGAGATGCACAGCAACCTCAGCATTTGGTCTTGTTTAACATCATTCCATCCTGTGGGCATGCAACCATCAACAGGCTGCCATGTCTGCAGGAGATGATCATTTTGCTACAGCTTAGCACAGAGATCCTCTCAGCTGGCTTCAGTGGGAGTCCAAGTTTTCGTGCTCCAGATTTGCATTGAAATAACCACCTTTTTCAGATACATTAATTGAGAGAAAAAAATTGGGTGACCTGGGACTGGAGAAATCTGAAGAGAGCTGCGACAGTAAATAATTCCACTTCTAGCAGGTTTGTACATTCAAAAATATTTGCCTTTCCCTACTGTGACAAATACATTTACCAAATATAGCTTAATTACCTGCACAGCATGAGACAAATCTGACACCAAACAGTGCCTCAGCTTTTCATCACTTCCTATTCCTTGCAAAACAAAGTCAGGGACATAAGACGAACAGTAGCCACCTAGTAAGGATCTTCCAAAATTGGCAATACTGGGCTGGACAGAGTTCACTTCAACTAATTTTGACCTGCAAGAAAGGCATATCAAAGAGATGTGCAATAGTAAACAACAAATCCAGCCTACAGAGAGGTTGCACTGTCACATTTATCGTATCTCTTCTAACTTTAAACAACAAATTCAGCTCACACAGAGGTCACACTTTCACATTTATCATATCTCTTCTAACTTCTAACTTCAAGTACTTTTGAAAAAGAGTTTAAGTCAGCTTTTGCAGTCAGCCCATTGTGGAAGAAAAGGATATGAGTGACGATCGCAATGCACAATTAATATTTTTTTCCTGACCGCTGATTTCTCTATATTCTTTTACAACCAGCAAGCTCAAGAGATACTTTTCTAACCACTGATGCCAAGTTAGGCTACATTCTCCAAACATGTGACATGAGAAGAGGCTCTATCTTTTTTAGGCTCTATTACTGCTGAATAATACCTACCCAGGAAAAGGAATCTCATATTCTTCTGCCCAATCTTCTTGCTCTGCTCCATAATAGTTACTGCTTGGTCTAGTTAGATCATGACCTGTATCCTCACTTTCGCTGTCACCCAGGGCACTATCTGAACTCTCATTTCTTGGAATGTCCCAATCAATTCCCGGGGCGACTTTTTTCTCTACATTTTCTCTGTCCCCATGGGGGATGCGAATAGAGATTTTCTCTCTTTGGTCCTGCTCATTAAAGCAGTTTTTGTAGGTCTCTTGTCGAACAGAGTCCATAAATTTACAAAACTCGCTAGGTGGTTTGCTAGTCTTTGTACACAGCTTTTTAGAAAACTCTAAACTACTGTTGTGAGCAAGAAGGTCTGTAGCTGCTTGCCCTGGAATATCATCAATAGTCCGGGTTTCAATTGAACTGTCATCAGTAAAATATTCATCAAACAGACTCATGCTCTCAGCATTGTATGGATTTGGATTCCAGCTCTGATGCTCACTAGCAACTTGAGGAAAGGGTTCAGCTGTCCCACAGTCTCTATTTTGGTCCTCAACAGTTTGTTTAGCTTCACAGTTCTGATCAGCAGACACTCCTTCCTCCGTTGCTGGTGGGCTGTGATGCCTAGCAATTTGTTCCACTACTGCCTGACTTCTGAGTTCGATGTCTGAATCGGGTGACATGGAATCTCCGATGAGGAAAGTCACCTTTGTCTGAGCTTCGGCAGCACTGCAAGGAAACGCATCGCAGAAGAGCTTATCTGGCGGCTTCTTTTCCACAGCTATACCGGGTGACCTTGTTACACTGACCGCCTGGTTGCCCGATTCCAGTGACTCTTCACTCCTCCACATGTTTCCTGTTGGCTCCAAACCAGATTCCGTCACTACACGTTTTTCTGGTGAGGCTGACCCTGTGCACACCACGGTCTCTAGTTTTGTGTCCAGGCAGGGTCTCGGTTGCTTAGCATCAACAACATCTTCCTGGCAATCATCAGGAACAATAGTTCTGTTCTCATCTGAAGAGGATTCCAGCTCTACCTTAGGAGTGTTTTGTGCATCTTCTCTCTCTTGCTGTGAAACACCTTCTATGTTTTGTGCAAGGGAAATCGGACATTTGCAATATTTACAGTTACAGCTAGGGGTTCTCATTTCTTCAGATTCCGTCGGCAGCAAGTTGCCCCTGTTCTTGTGCATTGTGACAAGCACATACTCAGATTCTTCTACTTCTCCTTTCTCCAGCGTGGTAGTTATAACAGTTCCAGGCATGACAATGGCTTCATCTTCCCCATTTTCTAAAAGATGCGTCTCTTGAAGTTCAGAGCATCTGATGAAGTAAGTAAGGAAATAAAGCAATCTCTGTACCAGGTCATGCCTTTTGCCAACCACAACTGTTTTTGCTAATCTCACAGGCGATCCAATAGCCCCATAGAGGTCACCTAGAATAGGAAATAAAACAGACAATTATTTTGCATCTTTAAAATAAATTATTATTCTAACAGACAATTGTTGTGGCCAGTTTTCAAAGGCCAGGTGTACAACAGAAAAATACTAAAGCAGAAGAGTGAGGACAGCTATGCTAGGATTTTGTTTTCAATACAGAGAATCCCAAAGATGCTGTTGGTATCATGGCTGTTGGTAAGGTGACACGCTGGTCAGGGAGACATCTGATCTCACATATTAGGGAGTATTCGCACCACCTAACTTCATTGCCTAGCTTTGGAGGCTCATCTCCTGGGTTCCTTATATAGCCATGGGAGAGAGGAGGCATCTGCTCTGAATTAGCCTGGATAGTCTGGAAACCGGGCTGAACTTTTACCCACCAAGACAAAGCTGCAAGGAGAAACAAACCTATGCCAGGAACGAGGGAAAAAAGTGACAGTGGTGGGTGCATAGCTGAAGCCAACCTTCTCTTCCCTCCCCTTGAGCTCTACTATGGGTTGGATGGGTTGTTTTGACTGTACTTCAGATTCGCCTGGGGAAGCGCCTGCACATGTGCTGTTCTGGAGGTATTAGGGCACTGCATGCATGCAGCGATGAGGGGACAAGGGATCCAAGAGGCCTCAAAGGCCAACCTAACCACAGCAGATCCCTCGAGTCCCATGAGCTCTGAAATCAAGTCTTCTTGCCAACTCCCTGGCCATTCCTGCCTATATTCATATCCTGCCAGAATAGGGCAACCTCACAAAACCTTCCTTTCCCTTCCCTGACCAAATTCCGTGAGAGTTTGCGTGCAAAGCAGGACAATCTGACCAGAGAATAGGAAGCTCATCTCCTCTCCTCTCCTCAGCAATTAGAAGACAGTATGACTAGCTACTCAATCAACCAGGCTTTGAGACCTTACCCAGGGGTTTGCCAAGACATAATTGCCTGTACTGTGTTGCTCCTTTGCCTGTTGTATTAAGAGTATGTTCATTTCTTATCAAAAGATGGATTTCCTTGATTTGCTCTTTCCAGAACTGGGCTTATTGATAGCAGCATTCCAAAAAATAAAAATTGGTTTTCCTTATAGAGGGAGGACCAGAGGAGGACTGGAATCCTCCATCATCACCTGGGCAAGTGACCTTAAGAGACCTGCCATAGATGACTACAGAGGGCTTTACTTTTTGGCTGCCATTTTATAATTGATAATGCCTTAAGAAATTACAGCACATATAAAAAAAATACAGTGACCACCTCTAAGCTTGAAATACACACTTTTGCCTTGTTTTGAATAAAAAAAAAAAAATTAAAAAAATCCAGCTTGGTGGGGAAGCAACAAGCATCCATAAAAACCACCGCACACATATCCATTGATATAAAGCTGTTGGGTGGTTTAGAGATGTTTGCCACATACCGAGCTGTGCCCACAGCGGGTTGTATGGATGAGTTTTGGCCAGCATGTCCACGCTCTGGGAAGAATGCTTTTCTAGGAAGATTCGTATAGGCGGCTGGCCATTCGGCATGACGGTAGGGACCCAGGCCAAGTGGTTAGTCAGGACTGCAGTCAGTAAAGCTGGTAAAAACCTGAAAGCAAAACGTTCAACATCATTTTTTTTCCAGGTACACACTCAGGATGTTAAACTAACAGCAGTTCTACAGTCTACATGGATCAAGGATTGCAGAAACAACCTAATAAAAATCAGCAGAGATCATCCCTTCGGTCTTGGTTCTTTGGGGAAAGAAGGGACGGCTGTATCCTCCCTCCCACCCCTGCAAAGCTCTTTTTTAGAACACACATTTAAAGCAAAATTAAGTATTTTAAACTTGTGGCATCTCATTTCCTCTATTTGCCAAGAATTATGAGACTTCCTATTTTGCAAGCTTTATGTTGTAAAACATCTCAAAAACAACTTTGTTCCCTGTAAGAAAACAGTCGCACTGCATGGCCTCTGTTCTCCAGGGAGATCCCAAACCCTTAAGATTTGTGACTATTGATGAGCAGGAAGGCTATTGCTACCAAAGCTGTAAAATAGCTAGGTGCTGTAGTCTTTCATCTAACTGTTATGCAATTTCAGCACATACGGCTGCTCCTTTTCAAAAATAAACCCCCCCAAAGTTCTGTAGCTCAGCCAGAAAGGCTGTGTCCTTACATTGGCAAAACAAGTGAGGTGAAAAACCTTTCTGAAAAATGTTAACTACCTGATTTATTGTAACGATAGAGCATGGTTTCTGCTCTGGGAGGGAAGACTTTCCTTCCCAGTCCCCTCTCCTGGCAGGAGTGTGCAGAAGTGCAGCCAAAGAGCCTCCCACATGCCAACAGATGGTGCTGGCGGCCACCACAGCGGCTCAGGTGCCCGGGGAGGAAAACAGTCAAACGCCACCGAGCCTCAAAATAACACTGTTTGAATAGTTTACAAGCATCAGGAACCCTACAGCTTAAATTTAGCCGTTTCCTCACTGGAGACAGCAGAAGGAGGAAAGGAGAGTTAAAACTAGACTGAAAAGGATATGGGGCTTGATTTTCCTTTTGCTTCCATCACTGTAAATCTTACTATATTTAAAATAAAGCAAGCAAACAAACCCAAACAAATGACCATTTAAGTGTAACCAAGATGTACAGGGCTCAGAATGGCAGGGACCAGAGGGGCTAATCCCAGGAAAAAGCTTCCACTGCAGCAAGAACTGATTTTAAGAAAATACATTTGAACACCTCAAAACTCCCTACGGTTTCTCCCGTTGCACTGAGGCAGGAGAAGGTGGACCATGCTGACCGCTAATTGTCACTCTCCCATCTGGGGGAGAGAAAAGATGACAAAGTTGGTGGCAAAGCTGGAAGACGGTAAGCAGCAGCCCCTTCCCCACCCTGCAGAGAGCAGTTTCCCCGGAGCTAACAGCTGGTCTTTCAGTGCCATTCCCACTCAAACTTCACATGTTTGTGCTCGTTTTAGGACTTCGGCGGAGCCAAACGCTTTAAAAACTTCCCCTATTCATGCCCTGGGGAAAGAGGATGAAGTGTTGACAAAAGAGTAAATTTATCAGATTCTCCTGACTTTATCAAGAACATTCTCAATTTTTAACAACCGCTCACGGCTTTGTCCTGAGGGCAGAAAGGTGAGTACTAATGAAGCACACAATTTCTTTAGTGGCATTTTACAGAAGTCAGGTTTAAGAGCAATTTGCGGTCAGACAGTATTACAGACATGGCTCTTACTGAATGTCTAACCTTGCTCATCATATGATAACTGATTTTGAAAGGTAGATTAATGCATTTCATAAGGTATGTTCACCCCCTTCCAGACATACACACCCATCACGCGCTTCCTATGGACATGTTTCAAATGTTTAGCCTCTACCAAGATTTAGAGGGTTGTCGGGAAGCAGGCATTTAATGAGATACTTTCCTGTTTCTTTTTTGGTTTAAAAAGAAGGTATTTATGGATGGCCTTTTGATTCTTCGATTACCAGGATTTAAAAACTGATTCAAAAATTGGTTTGAAATAAAAAGGCATAACACATATGTAATTTAAAAACTATAATCCACCATACTGGTTTTTAGAAGCATTTTCCATCAAGAATGTGAATTCCTTCATGAAGCGATGGCAAAGCTGGTTCTTTTCTGGTGTCCCTGACATCATAGTAAGCCAGACAGGCTCCCCAATCCGTGGCATCGTGTAGAGATTGCAAATAGTCGTTCTAGAAAACAAAACAAAATCCAGAAGACTAAACAAAAAAAAATGAAAGGCAGAGATCCCAACTCAAAGAATTTACTGCAACATTTAGTTCCAGCTGTCATTTCTATCAGAAACAAAATTTATCTCATCAACCATTATCCAAACCGTGTTGTTCATTAAATAATATGAACGCACCCTTCCACCTCGGAGAGTTAAGCCTCACAGGTTCTTCGTGCATCTGCCTAAAGTGATCCCAAACACAGTAACATTCCCTGTCAAAAGTCAAGAGCTGCCCTGTTCTGAATGAAGAAGAAATGAATGATTTGTTGTTGTTATCTCCCTGTTTTCCCTCCATTTCATTCAAAACATGTAAATCCTCCATAGTTCTGCTTGATTTATGACTAGGGCAAGGTTATGTGCATCTGACTTATAAAAATACCTTATCTTCCTCCTTGCTTTAAAAAATTTGGTGTATCTCCAGGCCAAACCCACAAAAGCGTAGATTTGTAGAGCAGGGGACCAGCTTAATTCTTTAGCTTTAAATATAGCACATTAGAGTCGAAGTTACCCCGTGGTTTCAAGGATTATGCACCTACCCACATCCTCTTCGACTCTACAGAGGTCAGTAAATGTATGATTAAAACTTTGGCTCTGCAGTAAAACACCAGATTAAAACCCCTCAGATTACTGTTAAACTCCTCTAAACTCTAAACTAAATGATAGTTTTAAGTACAATGCCTGTGTTGGGAACCTGTATTTTCATCACAGTAAAAATGTATGCCTGAAAAAACCAAAACAGCAAAGGAAATGACTGATCAATTCAGGTTTCTCCCCACCTAATGCACCACTTTTTGTGGAAGAGATACTTTTCTTTTATAAGACAAAGATTTACATTATCCCATTATCCCTAGTACCAGCCTTGATTTATAAAGATCTCCGGATATGCTGGTCTAAAAATTTATAGACACTTCCAGAAGAAAAGCAATGGCTGTGCGTGTCAGGCAGGCAAACACACTCGAGCAGCAGCTGCCAAATCTTCCGTGGTTTAGCGTTTAAAGTTAAAGAGCCCGGCACGTCAGCAGCAGAGCAGCACACAGCAGCGCCGGTACGAGGGGCACTCAGGGGAGGAAGGAGTTATTCCCTGGCTATTCAGCAGAGAAGAAAGCAGCTGTACGGTGACGGGACCCCCAGAGCAGCTCTGCAAAGGGCAGCAAAGGTGACCGTGCACTGTGCCGAAGTCACTGGGACTGCTCAAGAAGAAAGGGGCGAGGGGGACAGTGGCATTTGCTGCCTTATTTTTTTTCTATCAGTTTTCATTAAGTACAAATTCCATCCTGTGTGTTCACCATAGTCAAAATCAACCCCGTCTTCCTCAAAGGTTAGATTTTCAGACACTCCACTGCCACAAGCATGATAGGAAAGCCAGAAAACAGTCAATGGGCTGGAAAGGGGGAAAGTCAAGTTACCTTTGAGCTTACCAGACCCATAGCACCCAGGGGGCTCTTTGCTGGGTCAGTTTAGAGCAGCCTCAGAGCTGCTCTACTTTACCCTCTGCTGCTGGTCCTCTCTTGGGAGGAAAGCACAGCCTGGTTACTGACCCAGGCACAACAGTCCTGCCAGGTTAGATGTGAGTGGGACATGCAGCTGGGGCACACCAGCACTGCCACATCGTGGGGGTAACCGGAGGGTCTCCGGCAGCGCCGTGCTCTTGGGGCACCAGGATTTCATGCCTCGGCAGTAGCAAGTTAGGACTGGAGGTGGGGTTGTTAAGGGAAAGCTTTCTGTTCACAGCCCATTAACTGGAGTGGATGTTAAAGAGGCCCAAAGAAAGGGAGAAACCCCAAGTCCAGGGACTTCAAAGCTTGATGAGTTTCAAAGCTCAAAATAAGTATTGAAACTTGCACCCCCCCGACACAGCTGACCTTAGAAGCTGAAGATAAATGGAACAACTTAATGTAAAATACAGCTTATTTCTCCTTCATATGCAAACTAACCCAAGCCAAGCCTCTTGCAGCTTGGCTGTTTTGAAAAAAGAAACTACTTCTACACTAAACCCAACATATTAAAATATTTGTTTTCGTTGAAAAGATAGACCAAGTCTTGTGATTCGTTATTTACTATTCTGGTAACCCTGGCTGCATCTGCAACTGATAGTGTTTCCTCAGAGAGAGATCAGATTGCCCTGGCCGGCGGCCAGCAGGCATGTGACTGCAGTGCAGGGAACCCTCCATGCCAGCGCAGGCAGCAATGGCACAGAAACCAAGGGCAAGGATTAACTGCTTTCCAGCTCTGCAAACACGGAGGAAATGCTCTCCCTTCCATTTATTAAAGAACAGAAAAAAACCCAAAAACCAAAAAAACCCCCCAACAACAACAACAAAACCCTAAAACACTACAGGGAAGTTAACCAGATTTAAAAAATAACAACCATTAAAAATCAAATTGACCCCTCTTGGCCATCTGCAGCAAGCAGCCCCCCCCCCCCCTCCCCTCCCCCCCCCCATGCACACCAGCATCGAGCAGCCGCATGCGAGGGAAAGTTCAGTTAACTAGAGAGACTGTTCTTTTGAGGGTTGCAGTACATTTAAAACGGTTTATATTTGGAAATGCTTCTGGGAGGCTGAAGTCCAGCCTGGAGCTTACGGGGCACCTCAGCACCAGGAATGGGTGCAGCAGGGACAGGGGCTGGGAGACCTCCTCAGGAAACACCTTCATATCTAAAGGTAGCTCAAAACCAAAGCACACAGCCCAGCCAAACAAAAATGAAGACCTGAGCAAAACCCCTCCTGCAAACCCTCTGGGGGTTCGTCTGCTCTGCAGGCGCAGATGGCACCGAGGCGATCGGCCCTGCTGCTGGCAGACACGACGGTGCTCGCGGTGCTGCGGCACGGCACGGCATCGACGAGGGTCAAGCATTGTGCTGCTCCCCGCTTCACCCTCACCCAAATACACCCGCGAACCTCCCCGGCCTTTGTCTTGGATTTTGGTACCAGTCCGAGACATCTTTCCCTGGTGCGGTACAAACCAAAGGAGCCAGATGGCTTCTCGTGGATGACAGCATCCCTCTGCAGCTCCCTTCCTCCCCAAGGGAAACACTGCTGACCCTCGGCACTGTGCTGTGAGAGCTGCTCTCGCTATTTAAGAGTTGCAATGTAATGGCAAAGCTTAGCACCTCTTTAGGGATTGTTTCAAAAAAGAAAAAACACCAGCGGTTTCTAAAACTTAATTCACGTGCATTTGCTCCCTATCCTGATTCCTTCTTTCCAAAGATGATTTTTCCTTAAAAAGGAAAAAGAAAATGAAGGCAGTAATTGCTGCAGTGAGTGCAGGAGCCCATGCCACTCCTGTGCCCATGCTGGCACAGGGGCCAGCCTGCACCGCTGAGCAAAATGCACCACTCTGTTCTCAGCAGCTTAAACTGCTTAAAAATTACTGGCATAAAATAGGATCAAACGTGGCTGCCAGAAAGCAGAGAGGTGTTTCCCTAGGCCTTGCGTCCAGTGTTTCCTTGCCAGTCTGCGTATTTGCCACACAGGTATTAGTCAGATGCATAATCTGTATTATCAATGTGCTGCATTGGCCTCGGGGACCGGGGGAGTCGAAATGTTTATGCAAGTACAGTAGCTTATTTCATAAGTCATGTGTCTGCACAGCTGACATCCAAAGAGTTTTAAGCCTCTAAGTCAAGTGTTAATAGCTAAATCCATCAGTGCTTTAGAAAATTAAAAATTGTAAAGTGAATAAGGATGCAAGAGTAGGCCTGGAGCTAGGCACCAAATTGATGGCAAATTTATCAATAGCACCGATTTGCAGAAGCAGCCTAGGCCTTTCAGAGAAGGCAGCTTTGTTTTTCACAGGATGAGATGACAAGAGCAAAGGAAGGGGTCTGTTTTGCTGTCTTCTTTACTCCCCCTCAACCCCCAGTACCGGCAGGTAAATGCCTGTAAATGCCTGGCTGACCCCGCAGCCAGCTCCTTGCAACAACCCTGCTTGCAGGCTAGCAGGCAGACCTACAACCACAGCACCTTCCCTGCAGGAGGGGACTTTTGGGTGGCAGGAGGCTACGATAACACCCGTCACCCTTCCTCCTCCCTTCTCTGATCAGCACGGCGGCGTGTAGCTGGTCCCCCATGCCCCAGTGATTTGAGGTTGTTGTCATCACCAGAAGAGTGCACATCAGCTACACTTGAGAACCTCTGGAAGTCTGGGTTTAAAAAAAAACAAAAAAAAACAAACAAAAAACCCTCCTTAAAAAACAAAAGACCTTCTCCTTAAAAAAAAAAAAAAAAAAAAAAAAAAACCCCAATGAGTTAAACCAGCACGGGATTACGTTTCAGAAACACCAACTCACTGAAGTCAGCACCCTTCTTCCCTCCAGCACAATTTGCTAAGAGGGCAGGAATCAACGCAAGTCTCAGGTTCACCAAAGGACTCAGGCTCCTGACTTCCCCGTGACTTCAGTGGGAAAGCAGACGCCTAAAGAGATAATAGTGGCCTAAATGGGTTTGCTGAACCTGTGCCAAAACATCTTTGCATCCAGCCTTCAGTATTCAAATATACCTTTTTTTTTTCTTACCAGACACATATTGCATTGCTTTGAAAAGCAAGTGGCTCTTGCACGTTACAGAAATGCTTTTCTTGATGGCAGCACACATTGCCACCCTGAGATACTGCGGAGGCACGAGGACCTTGCCCACCTGCAGGACTGGCCTGGGCTGGGGGCACCGGCTGGGTGCACACCTTGGAATGCACTTGCTTAAAAAAAACCCCAAAAACAGAAAACAAAAAAAAAAACCCACACCAAAAAAACCACCCCAGAATTGCCAAAGTCTGCTGCCCCAGGAAACTCATTTATATGAAATTAAACTGGATTTAATTTACCTCGTTACACTATTAAAGAGTAATATTTGTATCACCATGGAAACCTCTGCATAAAGCTGGTAGTTAGACACATGCTTCCAGTGCTGGTTACGCAATGGCTGTGTCATGTGAATGACTGCGTCTTACAGCGGCTCAGGAGAGTGCCAATCCTCCCATGTCCAGTGGGACGTTATTTTCCTCCTCGGTCCGACAAGAGCAGCCTTCCTCGTCCCATCCCAGCTCAGCACCGCCAAGCTTTCCTCCAAGGAGGAAAAAGCTAGCAAGGGGGATTTGGCCTGTGTTTTCAGGGTTATTTTTCCCTACGTTTGACTCAATATGCACCCCTCCCCGGCACTCTGGAACTGTTTAACTTGGAAGGACAAAGGAGAATGGGCAAAGTCCGCTGCATGTATCTTGAGGGGGAATGTTTTGGGAAAACAGCTGGGGAGGTGGTGTTATCAGGGGGTGGGCATGCAGAGAAATGGCTCAGGGTGAGAATGGGGAGGAGAGGCAGACAGAGCTGGGGGGAGCGGAGGAACCACCGTGGCTGCTCAGAGTTGCCAGACTCGTCTCGGGCCCCTGGGCAGGATCGGCTGCTCCCAGCAGTCACGAGCTCCCTCTGCTCCCTCTCTTGGCACTGCTGATCCCATCCACCTCTCACCGCAGGCCCACGTGTTTGCTCTTCCCTGCCTCCTGTCCCTACCGAACATATCCTCTGCCCTCCCTCACAACTGCCCAGAGGTGAGGTTCTAAAAAATAAAAATAATAATAAAAAAAAATTAAAAAATATACTGTGCCTTCATCCTGCAACACCACCTAATCCATGGCATTCAGGTGGTAAGTGGAATTGTAGAAAAATGGGTGAGCCCTCAGGATCCTTCACTGTTCGGTAAAATACATCCTGATGTCACAGGATTTTCTTTTTGCAACATCAGAGCGCTCTCCTATAATGTCTTTTAAAAGTAACTCTGCGCTGGTTGTAAAAGGAAGCACCCTGCCACTCCTATCTGAGAGAAGATGAATCACTTGAAACAGACGGATTTCATCTTAATTCCCTCCCCATGACTTAAACTATGGAAAGAAAATACAGTTAAATGCCAGGGATGTGCTTATCTCTGTTACTTTGTATATTAACTGTTGAATAGAGGCGCTCTGCAGGTACTGATAGCAAGAGATTACAGTACTGCATTTTACTGTGTGAAAAAGATAGTCCTCCTTCTTAGTAGCTGGTTATCTGAAACACCTTTAGAGCTGAATTTAGAGCAGGGTAAAAGTCTTGCTTTGCTCACACATCAGGAAAATATACACTAGAGGAGTATTTCCCTAACGGCTTTGCAATTCTTTTCCCCCTCGCAACGGGCCATAAAAGATAATTTAAGAGGTTGCTGGGAGCTTCATTACTACCTAAAGCACAGAAAACCTTCATCATCTATGTCCTGTTCACACCGAGCCCTGATGGATATACACACTTGGCAAAACCTAAAAACACAAACAGATTATAACGGCTTGCTATCACCAATACCTTTATTGTACTTACTTTTGCAGAAGAGTTTAGACATGTTACTTATCCTGCACTAAGGAGAAGATCCTTCTAAAACAGACTTGAGTGCTTTTGAAAAAACAGACACAAAAGATAGGAGACAAACTGCTCACCTGAATTCATTAAGGGCATCAACAATTCTGTTATATGCCAAACTCCGCTGACTGGCATCAGCTGATCTACGACTCATTTTCATAGCCTTGAAAACAATCATTAAACAGATAAGTAACACATAGCTACAGAAGCACAGAAAATGGAAAACAAAGTCATGTGTTTGACTTTATCTTTCATGCAACTAGTCATGCAAATAATTTTTTTTTAAGTGATAAAACGATGGTACAAGTGCCAACTTTCATATCTGAGGAAAGATAGGTGAGGCACATGCATTTGCAGCCTCTGCTTCTTCTGTGCTTTTCATCATTCAAGGCATAAAAGGGATCAAAGTTTTCATTGCAGTGGCAAAGTAACCACTAAGTATTTCCTAGAAGAGAGATTTGAAGCAAATCTAACCGCATATTTGAAATGTCAATCTTTGAAAATTTCCTACACATCAGAATCAGGGGGTTAAAAAAAAGAGAAAGAAAAAAAGCTCGATATTTATTTACAGCCTGGAATAGCCTAGGGATAGGTTCTGACCCTGCAATCCACTACACTCAGATACAGCTGAAGCAGGGAGGTAGAGGTGGTCTTAAAAGCACCTTTCCCCTTGGCTGATCCAGGGCTTGCTGGGAGCTTACACAGCCTAGCGACTGTTCTAGCTGTCAGCAATCCCTGTAGCGTAACGCAGCATGCTCTGTCCTCACCCTGTGTTGTGCTTTTGCTAGCAATAAAAAACACCATCAAAGATGCTGTAGAGCAAAGCTCTTCTCTGGTGCACTTCCAATACCCCACAGCAAGTTGATCCCACTTTTGTAAACTAGTAACAAGAGTTAGGAATTAATCTGACAGGGCTGGGGGGAACGTACAGCAATACAAGTGCAAGAATCAAAAGAGACTGTGTTTACCTGTTCTATTGCACTCTTCAGTTTGTTCATGTGACTCTCAAAAAGAGGAAAGTGTGAGAAGAAGAACTCATTAAATTTGTTGTTTTCATCTTCATCTCTCGAGAGTGAAAAAATAACTCCAATTGCTATCTTTTTCTTCCTAACAATTCCTGGGCTAGGACCAGAGCTGTCATCTGACAAGTTAAAGCTTTCATCCATGGACCTTGAAGCATGAAAAAAAAATAGAAAGTTAATGTAATCCACTGCTTAAAGTTGTATCTCGGTTTCCTGTGTAATTCAATTCTTGAACATTTCACTTCAATAAACACCTTTTGTTTGCATGTGTTGTCAAATCATCACCTCTGATAACATCCACTTTGCAGTTTTTTTACAAGCAACCATTAATTGATCCTGCACTCACAAAAGCTGGAACCAGATTCAAAGTGTTTCTGGGGTCAGAATATGGTACTCTAGTTCTCTCCCACCTCTGCCAAGAATTTGTGTTTTGAGTAGGATTTTAGGGCTTCTTATCCTCAAAAGTACAGCCTACAGGTTTATGTTTTGCTGAAGGCTTTCTAGTTAGTGCAAAACAACAAATGCTGTGAAGAAAACAGATACTAAAAAAGATCAGGCGTTGAAGTGCAGCCTGACTTACACCTCTGTAAATACCCCACAGAAAGCAACAGCAAGAGCAGATGTACATATGCAAGAGCAGAATCAAGCTGACAATGGTGGAAAATTTATGGGCAGCAACCCGCATTTTCATTCCCAGCTCACCATCGAGGGAAGACCCCATTCTCCAAGCTGGTAGTCTGACTGCGACGCCAACGCCGCTGGTAACTGCTAGCACAGCTTTTGTTAAATGAAGAGCCCGGAGATGGAAACGGAGTGATGAGCAGACTGCTAAGAGATGCTGCAATAATAAGAGGAATAAATAAAAATCTCTCCAGAAGAAAGAGCATTTGGAAAATAATACCAGCAACTAAACGAAGCCCCTCAAGATAAACTGGTGTTGCTTCTCAAGTGCCTTCTTTTCTGTTTATCTATGTTTCATATCGAAAAATAACCAGTTTATAAGAACATTAACAAGATATACAAGCACTACAAGGGTGGGACAGTCCTGCAGCTTTACATAATAGGCAACATACAGGCTGCACCTTGCTCATCAACCCTGAGTATTGGGAAATAAATTCTTTGTGGAAAGGAGTAGCGTTAATCACATCCTTTAACAGCCTTTTCAATCCTAACCTGAAGTGCCCAATATCCTGAATCTGGGGGGAAGGAGAGGGGTGTTGTGGAGGTGAATTCATGTTTTAACATTACAGTTCTCCTCAACTTGGAAAGGAGATGACAACAAGTATTGTTTAGAAATGCTGCAAACTCATTTCAACATTTAATTTGGCTTGTTTACTTGCAGCATGCTTTAATAAATTGCACTGCTGTTCAGATTATCCCTGTGAGGTTCCTAATGCAACAACCTTGACACCTACAACATCTGTACATATACATATAGGTGTGCCTTAATGCTCATATATAACGAAACAGAACAATCACATTTCAGCACAGGGAAAACTTTTTGATAATGTCTAGACATCTCAGTGACGAATACTACTGAATATTTTTGGAGTCCACAGGGTTAACACATGGAACTGACATTACCAGATCTTGCTATACCGCTGTCTCTGTCCTCATTCTGCTCCCTCCCAGGCATATCCATAGGGTTGCTATGAACTGTAAAACAAGGAATACCAATTAGCAGGGGAATATACAGTTCCTTTCTTGTTTGCAGATCTCCATGTAATTAATGAAACAAAAACATGCTCATTAATTCAGATCAACAGCACTGCACAAGGCCATCACCAAGAAAGGCTGCTTAGCTGAACAAGCCAAAACACTTATCTGAAAAGCTTGTATGTGTTTTTCTGAAGTGCACACACCTATTTTAGTACAAACTAAAACTAGTACCCTTCATTTCTTTACACAGGTATTTTTCAATGACATTTTAATGTACCAAAGGGAAGTTGGTCACATTGGTAGTACTCAGTGTATAGACAAAAAACCCACCCAAAACCAATCTAAACACAACTTCATTCATATACCTTTCTTAGGTATTATATATATAATTTTAAAAGGATTTTACAATGCTGTCTTGAAGAAAAGAAATACTTTTAAATTGTGAGCAGTGCATTGGTTGTTCAACTAAGCTGTAAGCTGTCCAGATTCACAGTCTGCATATACACAAGATCAAAAGTGTCTCAGGCTCAATAGTCTTTAAACGTGATGTATTTTACAAATATGTGTGTGAAATAAAAGCTACTCAGCCATGGAAATAAGACCCAACCACTAAAAGCAAGAAATGCCCATTTTAAATGAACCTAGTTTAGCTTTAGTTTTTACAGTTTGGTTGAAACAAGTCCAGATCAAAATAGCTTGACGCTATTGTGAAATATTATTTCCAGAAATATGAAATCCACCATCAAACATATGTTTCCAAAACAAAACAACACAACCAACCAACCCCAAAGAGGACTATTAAAATGCCTGCTGTCCTCTGGGGATTTAAAGCATGTATCCAAAAAGGTAAGAGAGCAGACATCACTGTCCATTTTGTATTTAAAAAAACCAAAAATCTTATTTCCAGGGCTAAACTACAAATCCACACAGTTTTGTCACACCAGCTAGACTAGCCACACAGCACAGCACACAGCACACTGCAAACCTGCAAAGAAAGAGGCGCTCCGGATCAGGCGGAGCGGACCTTGCTCTGAGAATGCCCGCCTAGGGCTGCAAAGCTGTGAAAGACCTACATGGCAAAACGTAAAATACACATGAAAGAATGAGGTTAGTAAAGCAGAACAGTCTGTAGGGAGGGGGCCAGGGCAGGGATAGATATAAGAAAGATATAAGCCAACATAAACGCAGACTAACATAATGCAGGAGAACAGCTCTTATGCTTAACAAGAATGTTGATTCAAGGATACAGCTTACAGTTGGACTACATAGTATTTATAGAATTAAAATAATAGACCCGGCTTTACACTGTCTCCCATACATGGATGGGGTTTCTCTCCAAGGGCTTTTTTTTTTTTTTTTTGTTAAAGTTGAAAAATGATTAATTTATGCAGGCTCAAAGCCTAACTTGATCACAAACAGGAGATTCATCATGGAGTACAATGTTTGTTTTAACATCCACACTGGTGGGGTGGCTGAAGAACACTGTTGCTGAAGATGACGGGGAAGAAGGGGGAGAAGGCAGGCAGAAATTAATCTTAGTAGAACCAACAGAAAATTATAGGCTGAAGTACATATTCCAAGAACAGTCAAGTACATCAGTTTAGTGAAATGATCATACAGAAAATAATTGTTAGCAGTCTCAGTAGTCCCTTTTAAAAATAATACTGGATTGTAGGTATACCAGGGAAAGAGTGTATTTACTGTACACACAGCCAGGAAAAATGCATGGATATTTTTAATGAGTTAATTACCAGTCCTTCTCCTAAATTTGAAGCTACTCACTCAAAGTTTTCTGATTATACAAAACACGAAAGCTGCATCTCAACAAAGCTCGCTCCCATTCTCTTAGGTGTTCACTCATTAAAGGAAAGGACATGACCAGTGCTGCTTTTTTTTTTTTTTTCCCACCAGCGTATCTAAAAAAAGCAGCTTGTAAATAGTTCCCAACCAAAACACATAGACCCTTCTCCTATCACAGGCTGGCAAGACCCAAGGAGTCAGGGGCAGTCTTTGCTGTCCAACAGTTGTTAGAAATGCTGCAGTTACAGATTAACTTCTTCACGTACTTTACCCATGGTTCCCTCTGCGTTGAAAGGGGAACTGTAAACACACACTGTGGAACCCACTGAAAACTTGTGCAGCTCAATTACAAAGAAAGTTTCAGCATTCTCTTCTAGCAGGCAATCTTGTCGATTCTTGTTGCACACCCTTGCAGGGAGGTGCCTACACCTTCTGGCCAGCTCTCAGGGCAGTTACCCTTTCTGCTTGGTGGGGAAGAGCCACCCTCACTACAGAGCCAGACACAGATGAACGTGTAGCACTGACTACACCTAAATCATATTGAGTCCACACCTAATAGTTGCATTATCTGAATTTAAACTTGCAGCTTAGATCACACTGGTGATACAGCGAACTTTTGCCAAGCACAAACCACAACAAAACCCTAAAAGTAGATGAAGTGAGTTCCTCTCCCTTAGATCAGGCACTTCATTCACTCATGCACTGTGAAAAATCACAACTGAAGTCTGACAGGAATACTGAAAATTAAGAAAAATGCGTCTTTTTAACTTTCCTGACTTGGTGAATTCAGGAAACATTTAATAGATAATAGGTTCTTACAACTTTAATTGGCTTCCCTTATAAATGGACTACTGGAAATTATTTTAATGAGGTATACAGCTTTTGAGCCTGAAAAGCATTTAAGCCCATGCTTAGGTGTAGTCTTATCGAAGTCAGTGTGAGGGAGAGAAGTAAACACACCCAACAAGCATTAGGAGCACATCAAAGCCAGAAACCCAGTTAAAGTAACAAAGTCATCAAATTCACTCCTTACTTCCAACACTAGAAAAGTGTATTTTATACAGAGCAATATTCTGGAAAGCAAACGTATAAAGAAGCCCCTTATTCCACCTACTACAACAGACATTTGCTTGGAAAGTCAATAATCTAAACCAAGGGAAAGGGAAGACGTGCTGAAGAGCTCATCAGGCTGCTACACTGGACAACCAAGCACTGAATTACAGCATCTTTACTATCAGCTCTACTGTCCCCAAGGGGAAAAGCCAAAACCTTTTCCTCTTTCTGTTATCTAATGTTCATGGAGCCTTCAGGCACAGCACTTCCACGAAGGCTGAGAACCAAAGATGCCAGATGTTTTTTCAAGACTGCTTAGATTCCATGGTCAGACGGAGAAAGAAAGAGGAGAAAGCAAAAAGATATTCTGTCTAATCTGATCAAAAACTCCAGCACAACTGTGCAAGGTTGACTTAGACTAGTACAAACCACATAGGCACATGCGCTCATGTGGCCAGAGTACAGAACAGAATGAAATTAATGAAAATAAAATGGGAACAGAGCCAGGCAGAATCAATCCTGCCTGATCCAAGATATGCTGCTTAGAAAGTTCTACTGACTGTTGTTTTCCAACATTTTCTGTATTTGAACTTAAGTATATCTAAATATTTCCATTATGTATTTTATATACACATAGGTATCAGTAATACATTGAACCACTGCTAATTCCTTGAACTGTCCGATTTATTCTCCTCCAAACCCCACCGACATGTAATGTTTTTAGCTTGCCTTTTTTTTAACATTAGATTTGACTTAGAAGACTTTCATATTCTACAATCTATGATTACTTAGTTAAAGATACCAGGAAATAAAATCTGTTTGTGATTACCTATATTCCCAAGAAGTCCATTCATAATTGTACTGTGGTCAGGCTTTAATGTATTGCTGTCTTGATTAATGAACTCAAGACTGTCCTGCAACCTATAACAAACAGAAAACATGCAACAAAAACAAGTGATTTGCATTTCAGTAGAATATAGTGTTACTTTATTATAGCCCGAATGGAATGGACAAGGTAAGAATGCAGGCTTCCACTAGAAAAAGCTTTCATAGCCTAAGCCACATTTTCAGGTGGGTCAATTAATACACAGAAAACTAAACATTGAACTCCTGGAACCCACATGTTTTTGTAACACCTTTTTCTTCATCTTGGAGTGAATTCCCCAACTCCAGTGTTCTGTTCTCATCTCTTCTCCTTTGCTGGTTGCAGGTACTTTTGTACTTTACAATATCAAGCTTCACCATATCAGCATTAAAGGAATGGTTCATTCATTCGCTTAAAGCAAACTGAGGTGAAGACAACCGCAAGGGAAAGGTGAGGACACTAGTGACAGGATGTAACAGATCAGGGAACAAGAAGTTATTTTTCTACAGAAAGAATCTGGAGGGTCCAAAAAAGGTCTTCTGTGTTCTTACATTCATCTGCTTATGTGCAATAGATATGATCTGTAATAGACTCACGTATTCAGGCTTCCGTAGATGCTACTTCCAGTGCGAGCTGTGAAAACCTTGCTGAGCATGAGCTGAGGAGGTGAGCTAGAGGACAAAAAGGAAGATGTCAGAAACACAGTGCCAAGACAGGCTTTACTTTCCATTTCACAACCCTCCAGATTTTATAGACCTAAACAGGACATAACAGCCTTTTGTGTAAAAAGTGACATCAGAGTTACTTTAAAGCAAACCCAGAAATTCTTTTTACTCTGCACTTGTGGCATTCAATTCATTACATATTAGCACTAAGGAGTAAGTCTTATGAAAAGACTAGCAGTAAAAAATTAATTTTACCGGATCTGGTGAATTTTCAATGTGGAGCCCTTGTAGCTCATCGCCACAGAGCCAAACATCATCTCTCCAAGCATGTTAGCATCTGAGGAGCACCGAGAACCCTGCAAAAAAAAAAACCCACCAACATTTGGTTTTAAGCATTTTAGAAGCACGCTTCTATTAAGGCAACATATAACTAAGGAAAATAGACTTTATTTAAAAGATAAACTTGCACAATATCTTGCTATAACACTGTCAAACACACTAAGTTGAACAGTTCAATAAAGATAATGCTGGCATAGAAAGTGATCTTCACATTGGCTGTGAGCTAAAGCACTAAAATCATCCAACAAACCTAACCCATCTACAGGGGGTGAGGGGAAGCAGATTCAAATGGTGCTGAGTCAGGAGACTAAAAACTTTTTACTGAATAAGAACCATTAAGCCTAAACCTTGTGTCTGCTTGAGAGTAAGAATCACAAGTTCACTGCAGATCTGATACAGACTGCATTGGAGCCAAGTTGGACCAGTGCTTTCTTGACAAAGACTGATTCATAACTTATCCATGGATGGTATTTTGTATCTGATGCATCTTTCCCTGGTGCTCCTGTGACAGTACCAGCAAAGAGCTGTAGCATCGTGATGCCAAGCTCAAGTTGTGCAATTCCTGCTTCTCGGTTGGTGAGAGCTTGCTGTAAGGCATACTGGCTAAATACAGAGGAGGGACGTCACTATGCCGCATCACAGGCTAGATCAAATACTGCAAACAGAAACCTAACATTAAAAAGTTACTCAAGGCAACCAACTGGAGACGACTGCTCAGCTGACAGTCATCTTATTTGTATACTTTCAATGACTGAGATTACTGTCCCTTTATCCAGGGTTGTTTCATCTCTAGGATGAGCAGAATATTAGTGCTGGCTCTCCATTTGTGCCTTGCCCTGAATAATTTAAAATATCATGATCACTCACTCACAGAGCTCAGGCAGTTCATAGGTGAGGTACTTCAGTACTGTGCAAGAGAGCAATACATTTCCTTTGAGGCGCGTGGCAATTCATAACATTTCCTTTGAGTAATCCTTCCAAAAGGTCCCTAAAACCAGTCACAGAAATAACCTTGTGTTTGGAAAACGCTAAGTGCCCTATCTCCATACCCCTCATCCAAGCTCTGAACAACCAGGATCCTCACCCGGATTCCTACACAGGCTTGGAATATATCTAAATATTTTGCCCAGCATCAGACAGTGAGCTCAGAGCACAACCAAGGACAAGGTGTCCACAGCACGGATTCCTACCAGCAGTAAGGAGTGATATGAAAATGACCACTCCATCTTTCTGCTCATGCTAGCCTGCAGAACAAGGGCAGGAACAAGGAAATGATAATCAGCCAGAAGGCAACACACTTATAACACTTCTCAATTTTTAGCTCTTCTCAAGCACTCTCAATTAAGATGATGGTACTTTAACAGACATACTATTAACCTCTGAATTCTGCTATCAGTGCAAGAAAGATAGGGGATGACTAAAAGTAGCAACCACAGTTATAAAAATGAGGATACAATTGCAAGGTTTGTTAGTATTCATACGGCAGGGCAAAATCTGATCATGAGCTGGGTCTCAGAGAAATTTTCATCTTTACCTCCCAGGATATCATACTGCCTAGGTGCACTGTAGGCAGTACTGGAAAAACTAGACTTTAAAATCAGTCAGTATGACCCAGCAGCTCCGAGGAAATATAAGCATAGATGTTAATGGCTCCAGGAAATGATAGGTCTGCCAGCATCACAAAATCTTGAAGTAAGAACACTGCAAATTACTACAGCCAAATGTTATGATTGTTATTTTTAAATCTGTTGCAGATCTCCAATTGAAGGACTCATTCTGAATAAATGTCAAGCCCTTGATGGTTGGTTTTGGTTTCAACTTTCTGCTGTTGTGAAAATCTTATTCTAAAGCTGAGGAAAAATACTTTAAGATAAAGTATTGATTTTCTTTGTCAAGCAACTGAATTAAAAAAGCAAGTGAAAATCAGCTGCTTTCAAATTTAATTATAGGGGTTTCCCTTTCCTCCGAAAGACAGAGACAAGCAATGCTGAAGGCAAAGAGCATGATAAGATGCACCCATGGCCTGTTTCAGTCTGGCATTTCATCTACACTTAATAATTTTACCATGCATAACAGAACATGCACGTATTTAATGCATTTAATATGCAAACACTGCTGCAGCTGAACTCTTTGGGCCTTTAATGCTGCAAAACAAAGGTCACTCAAGACCAAAGTAGAGTGCAATCAACTGAGGAAAGGGGTTAAATATTAAAAACCTGAAACAAAAGAAAGCCAAGGAGCATCTGGCAAAAAGGGCACAACCTCCGGCACTGACAGCTTGGACACAAACCAATTCCCTAGGTCATATTTATGAGCTCACATAAAAACTGATCATAAAATACCCACAAGTGTTTCTTATTGCACATTAGCATATTAGAGGTAGTAAAATTTGCATGATTTGGAAATTGCATTTCTGAATATATTTACAACATTTAATATTCCACTTACTGTACATATTGTCCTATCAATAACTAAGTACATACATAAATTAAAAACACAATACAGAAATAAATGTCAAATGTTGTGATGAACAAATCAGAAAGACTTTCAGTCCTGACTACACTGAGAAGCAGGTACCGAGGTAACACTAGTGTCATAATGCGCAAATAATTGCAGTCAAGCTTAGAACCATATTCAGCTTCATCTTAATGGATTCTAATCACATTTGTGAGGGATCTGGATACAACATAATTAAAAACATGGAAGCCTGGAACAAAACCCTGTATTTCACCTTGCGATTAAAGTTGCTCATATATAGTCAAAATGCATTTAAACAAGGAAACATAAAGAACTATTTTAAAAGTCCTATAGCATTGTATTATTTGGACTTCCACTTTATAGCTTAAAAAAAAAATAAAATAAACAAAAGAACGTATAAATACTGCAAATACATTAAGTAACTCCTGAGATTACCAGACACAGCAGTTAGGAAATGCCAGGCTGACTGATGTCTGGACAAGCTTACTCTGGCCCTTCTGCATACACGATACAAGATCTCACTCTGCAGTAAAGAACTCTTGTCTTTATGGCACTCTGCTTACTTGCTGGGGAAGCCTGGAAGGAGTACAGGGAATGCAGTAGATAGTTTACAACAAATACCCTGTAGAAGACCAACTTAAGGTCAAAGTTTCTCGCACACTTTCTGAGCCAGTCACATAGCCACACATCATTTCAGTTCAACTCAGTAAGATTTTGACTAAGTAATACACGTGAGGAAATGGGGACTTAAAAGGGAAAACTTTCCACAGCTTTAAACTACACGATCATGCCAACCACTAAAATTAATTTCCTTTAATAACGTTGACCATTGTTCACACAGAGCCTGCCCAGTAGGAGAGACAACTTCTGGATAGTGGGGAGGATCATTTTTCTTGGTCACACAATGCATGAAGGAGGTTATTTTGTGCTGGAAGGAAGCTGCTGACAGAAATGTCTCTTCCTTTCATAACCACAGCTAAATGCCCTTCCAGGAAGGGAGGAATGGAAAACAGATCTTCAGCCACCTTACTAAAGCTGTGGAAAAGAGCGTGATGAGAAAGAGAAAACAAGAATATGCAGCTCGCCAAATATAGCAAGAGTTAACGTGACAGTGGGAAAGTCAGCACTGGAAGGTTCTTCATTTATATCTACGGTAGATTAAGACATCAGTAGTACTGTACTTCAGAATAGGTTGTAGAGATAGCAGCTTCCCTCAAACACACAATTACTTCATTACAAAGAGTGGAAGGGCTTAGTTCTATTTTAGAGTGGCTTAATATAAAACACTTGTGATCCATGGAAGGAGAGATGACAGAAATATATCCGTGTCAGATGACTCCAGCTACTCTCGTGGCCAAAATCTCTTATGTAAAATGTAACTGAAGTGCACTGAATCCCTTGTTATAAAGCTGTTACACAGATTACCCCTATAGCTAGTGCATTTCTCTGTTATTTCCCTGGCATTTAGCAATAAAGTAAAATAAACTACCTCATCTATACCGAGATAAGATATTTGTGCCAAGTCTGATCATACCGAATGAGTGTTATCACCTAGGTCATAAGACAGAACAAATGCCCTGGAGAGATCGCTGCCATTCAAAGACACATCCTGAGAGAACCAGCTGGTTGGTTTTAGACTTGTTCAAAACCAAAGCTACAGGATTAAACGTTACTGAGTCAGAAACAAAGTCTGATTTTGACTGAAAACTGCTCTCCACCACTAGCCTCTAGTTTCAAGCATTTTAGAACATTCACTACCTCACCTGCCGTTAGTATTTGATGTGGGTTATGCAAAAAAAAAGGAAAACTGACTCACCTGGTATTTTGGGCATTGTTCTTTTGGATCAGAGAATGAGGAGGATGAATTGATTGAACTATCCAACGAAGAAGAGCTGTCTCCTCCGGGCTTCAGTTGGCAACATTTCCCAAAAACTCTCACCTGAGCATCACTGCAGAGTTTCTGAAATACAGACAACATATGTGAACACACTAAGACCCGTGACCTGAAATCACTGTTTAGCAGCATTGCACTTACCTGTTCAGGTAAGATATTTAACAGCTAAAAGGCTTATACCCCATGAAAACAGTTAATAGAATATTTATTAGTGTCTCTTGCAGCCTGGCTGTACAAAAGAAAGCTGAGCTGTTTTACTTCCAACTAGCCAGGAGTTAAGAGGCCACTCCAACCCCATTTTCCTCAGTAGCCATCCATCTCTGAAGCTTTACAAATGACTTTTTTAGACCCAGGATTAGGAGAAAGGATGGTACCAAAGCGTTTAAAGGAAGGATGGCAACAACAGGCTCCAGCTGTCTTCATCTTGCTGCTGGTGCCCACTGGGGCGGAGGTGACACAGCAGTGTGACGGGCACAGCCCTCCAGAGCGACAAAGCCGGCCAGATCATGATGTGGAGCAGTTCACGATGTACAGGAAAACACACTGATTAGGAATAATTGAGCAAGAACGCCACAGAATTCAAGAGAGATTCATGTTACGAGGATAAGTGGAGAGAAAAGATACTATTTTTATAGACCTATCCCTAGCTGTGTCCAAGTCCCCTGGTCTTTTTAAAGAGTGGCACAGAGGTGACACGTTCCTCTCGTTTTCAGTATGATGGAATTGTGAGGCGGAAAATGGACAAAGCTGAAAAACACAGCTAGTGTTACAGAGAAGCCAGAGAAGTTTCCCAAAATGATGGAGAAATGGTTCAAGGGGTGATTTCTGATAGAGATTCAGAGAGAAAGCATAGCAAAAACAGGAGTTAGGAGGGCTCAGATGGAGCTGGAACTGACATACAGAATGAGCAGGATCTGTGTCCACTCTATAGATGCAGTATTATCAACCACTGGCACGGGATATGCTCCACTATGGTTTTGTTCACTATTTAAAAACATTTGTGATTTCCCCTGCAAATCTCAGCATCCCAAGCAGAATCAGCATCCACATCAGTTAATGCCATTTACACTAAGATTAGGCAATCCTCTTCACCTGAAGACCTCAACATATTTTTCATATACTCATTATATCTCAACACGCCCACATAAGGTTGGCATTATTTACATTTGCTAGTGGGCAGCACTAGGAGACAGAAATAGTCTACACTGCTCAAAATTACATACTAACTCTGCCCTAAGACTTTCTTAATTAACATTTCCTATACAACCACCAAACCAGTAAGAGCAAGCTGGAAGCAAACCCTACTGGAAGCAAGGTTCAAGGGACAGATGGAAATCCAGAAGTGCTGTTATATGTCGCAGCTTCACCTCTGGACTCACAGGTCCACATTACAAGCTCCCCCTTCATTCAAAAACATAAGCATGTCTCAATCTTTAATAGCTATGAAAAAAAAGAAAAGGCATAAAGAAAACTGTGAAATACCCAAGGCACAGGGTGGTAACTCCATGACTGCTCAATAGTCAGCAACAACTGTACAAAAAGACAACTGCCCTTACTGCTGTGGAGGGATTTTGGTGAGGGACAAGATGGGAATCCCATCCCTCTGTCCTAGGCTATGCAGGTTACTACTTTTTTTTTTTTTGGCTAAATCTCACCCACCATTAGGGACAGGTGACTTTTATTTGGCCCTAACTACGGGTGAGATTTAGCAAAACAGCAGAAAATGTCAGGGATTATCGAGCTCCACGCAGCAGTCTGCACTGCTGCTCCCATTAGAGAGCTGCTGTCACAGAAAGCCTTAAGGAAAAATGTGCAGACAAATCAGTAATTCTGTGGCAGAGGGGAAGGAAGCACTCACTAGCCGCTGAGTCCTGTGCTTTACTGACATATACAGCCTCCCATAGTAGTATCTTCTAATTACAACATCGTGGTGAGTACGTTGAATTCATGCAATATGTAGATTTGCTAATGGCTAGGATCTGTGGCTTGAGCACAGTACACAATGGCTGGAACATGTGAATGATCATCATATGACTTCAGTAGGAACTCGTGAACTAGAATTGCATTTTATCTCTGACACAAACAACAATGTCCTAGGCTGGGCAAGCATCATGTGATAAAACCACATAAAATCCACAGGGTTACAGAAGCTTTTGCAGGCAAACCACATTTCAGCTTGCATTTTCCATCAGATGTTGAAAGTTCCTTCTAAAAAGTTACAATTATAACTAAACTTCCTTGAGACTGTAAAGCCAGTAAATGCATTTCTACAGGTGAAAAAATTTTCTGTGCATTAAAAAAATAGGCTACATTTGCAAATTACTTTTAAATTATTTCTTCTCATTATCACTGCATTTTTCTGCACAGCAGCTTTCCCCAGATCCATTGGGGAGTCTAGTATCTTGAAGTAATAGCTGCCTGATTTAAATAGCAAACCAGGAAAACGGTTGTTTGGTCTTTGCAGTGGAGTTTAATGAACCAAGACTCCTGCAAGGAGTCTGTAAAGGAGGTCAGGATCTTTCAGATACTTTTCAGAACCTCGTGAACAGTAAATCCCTCCTAAAATGCAGATCACTGACCAATTTTGGTGTTTGCTCTTTTACAAACTTAGCATGTGCTTAAGAATAACCTGTTGGACAATGAGATCAAGTACCTGCAATGCCCCCCTCCTCCTGCAGCTTCTGACTCCAAATGTCAATGAAATTTTAGATGCTACAAATCTCAAGATATTCTGCATCAAAGGAGTGGGATTACTTGCATTCCAATATAATATTCCAAAGATATTAAAGCCAGGTTTCCAAAAATAAAAAGGTAACCTAATTATTTGAGAACCGTACAAAGGAAAGTTTCAAAGTTGTGCATTTTCTTTCCAAATAGACATAGCTGCAACAAATCAGATCCCCAGGCAAAGTGCTGCTGGAGCCCTCCGAAATGCTCACTTTTGCTGGAGAGCAGAACATCTGCTGGAAGGATGCCGTGGGCAGCTGCCGCTCCTGGCTGCCACACTGCTCTCCCTGCTGTGGTCACACTCTTTGTTCTTTCTCTGCCAACTCGCTGCAGATACCGCCCAGCTCCAAAGACTTCCTGGCAGTCACAGTTCTTACATTAGAGGTCATCACTTGCTGAAAGTCTTGGAGACCGATCAGGTAGTACTGAAGATAACTTAGAGTAAAAGGTCTTTATAGTACGACAGGGTAAAAAGTAGTTTTCTTCTACAGTTCTGCTTCTGGAATCTCTTTTCTCCACCTCTGTCAGCAAAGACCTTTAACTCTTTGCCACAAGGTCTATAAATTCCTCAGTAAGTGGGAAGAACATGCCCAGGAAGAGGAATTTCTCCTGGGCAAGTTTTGGTTTGGGGATAATAAGAAAGTTGAAAGGAGCCTGGTGCATTGAACCAAATCCAGACTGTGTGCATGTGCATTAGGGCTGTGAGTGACAGAAGGAAAGAGAAATGTCATCATATGCTTTACTCTTTTCTACCTCTCTGCAACAGCAGGTGCTCAAATACCACTGTGGTGGTAGTGATAGAGAAGTCTGTATTTCCAAGCAAAGCTGCCACTCTTCAAGAGCTCTGTACCTCATTTCTAGAACATTCCAGCAAAGCTGAAAAATTATTCCAAAATAGGTAAATTAACACTTTTGCTTTATTAAGACGCGTTCGTCTGAATGTGTGATTAAATGTATGCATCCACCTAGGACACGAGAGTAACCCGAATAGGCATTCATTCCTTCCCTTCAAGTGCTGCTGTAAAAATCCAGGTATCTTTCTTAAAATGCTGCTGTCGAGTGCTACATTCTCCCTTTATTTCCAGAGTTGTCAAGTTCCTCTATTACTCAGAGGTCAGTGAAGGAAGTAAAGACAGCCCTATGCTCCCCCACGCCACTAGTAATTCTTCCATTTCTGTTTAGAGAGACTAAGCAGAGCTAAGAAGGTGGGACTGGGTCTCTGTGCTTACAGCTTTGTCTGTCTGCTCAGCCTGGCTTACTGGAACCCTGTCCACTGAGAGCCAGATAGAGACCAGAGTCTCCATTTCACACAACTCACCTAAAAGCAAAAGGCTCACTATCCAATTACTAATCCCTCAATGCAATTTGCTGTTCAACATTTATCCAGTGCTGAAGTATATTAGAACACATGGCTAATCCTGGCTTGTTTAAAACAGCATGCCATTTTTCTACTTTGGGATAAATATGACATTTGGAGTGAAAGAAATTGCCGCAGTAGGAGATCAAATATCATATGACCTTTCAGTTAAATTATCCCAAAGATAATGACAACTAGGTTACATGGCAAAAGTGAACTTTTCGCTCCCCAAATCCACCTCTAGATCTCAAATTCTGTACCTTGGACCACTCTTTCTCTTTCATTCCTTCAAAAAAACAAACCAAACCCTGCTTCTGAAAATCCTCTTCTGCCTCCAGGTCCTGGGAACAAGCCACTACCCTTCTCAGATTCCTTGTCTTCCCCCCTTCCCAGCCAAACCATCCAAACTCCAGATGCCTGCTCAGCACAGCACACAGCTTGGCTCTTGCTTCTTTTTGCCCTACTCTTCCTCATGGTCCCCTGACACCATTTTTCCTCCCTGGACTCCACACCTTCCTCTAGGCTGATCTTCAGACTCAGGAAATCTTTTCGCTTCTTACATGTCCATCAGTACCTCTCTTCAGGCAAATCCCGAATGGTAACAACTGGCTTGTCATAAGCCACCAGTGGACAACATAAAAAGGAAAACGAGTGGTTAAATGAGACAGCTAACCCCCGTCCCTGAACTCATTCAGCCTGCTCCAAGGAAAGCCCTGACGCGAGGGTCCCCATCCCACCTTCTTCTTTGGTTTACTCCCCACTTCTCCCTCGTGGCACCATTTCTGCGGCACCCTTCTCCCAGTCAACCGCCGGCCCTCGGAGGCAAACTCCTCATACTTCAGCTGGCCTTCGCACGCCGACGTGTACGGCGACATCGCTCACGTGCCGCACAACAGCAGCGGCGCAGTAAAACGCAACGCAGCCTTCGCGCGAGGTTAGCGCGAACGCGGCGTCAAGGTTGAGAAGCCAAGCATGCAGGGGCTCAGGAAAGGCAGAGCCAAGGCTGAGAGCTCAGCACCGGCTGGGCCACCTGGCCTCTGCACCTTAAAAAAGGAAAAGGAGCTGCTTGTCATGCTTGATTTGAAATTCAAACCGGGCCCGCTATCGCAGCTCTTGGAGGAGCATACCTGCGTTCACACGCGGCTCCTGGCTTGGAAACTCGGTACGACCCGACGGGGTGGACGGACGCACGGACGCACAGCCACGAGGCACCACGCAGCGAGGAGAGCGGGGCCGGTGGCACGGTGGAAAGCAGGAAAGTGTTAGAGGAAAAGGAGCAGACGAGGACAGAAACGCGTCTGCTAGTAGAGATCAGCCATAGGTCGTAACACTATCACCTGCAAATCAAGTAGTACAGTCTCATTAGAAATGAGACACGTATTAGTATGAGGAACAAACTCCGAAGTAACTCCCTACAGAAGACAGTGGATCAAACCCACGAGCTTGCACGTAGAAGTACTTCGATACCCCAAAATCCGAGGGATGTGGATGTTTGGGTGTGGACCAAGGCTGTTCAGAAAAGGCATCAGTCATGTCTACTTCTCGTATCACCTGCTGCCCTCGTATACCCAACGTGCAAATGCCTGTTCTGATACATTTGCTCATGACCTAGTGTCACAGGGCTGGAAAGGGCAACCACTCTCTTCTGGGATATCCTGGCAGAACTCTCGACAGAGGAATTACCCAATTTTCTGATGCTCGCGAGGCAGCAGCCTTTCGGCTCTGCTCCCCTGGAAAGCCAGGGAAGAACCTCTCCTGCTTAGCACCAAAAAAGGCATAGGACTCACAAAGGGGATCTCTCTGCCTCCCCCCCATGCCAAGTGCCCACAGCTGCCGAAGGCGGATCTCTGCCTGGCCTTGGTGGAAACGCCTGGCACAGCCTTCGGCCAACATTCCCGGTGCAGCGGCCGCCAGCCCTCCGAGTCACCAGACTGCTTCTCGGCTTTGCTTGCCAAGTTTAACTCTAGCAAAGACCCGGGGAAAACATTACTTCTCCTGCGCAATTAAAATATTTTAACGGCCATACTGCAAACTCTCAGCTGCCTTCTGTCTGTCTCTGTGCTATACCCTCCCAAAATTCTTGTTTACCTAATATTTAGCTTTATAGAAGACGTGAGGAGGCTGATTTAATATCCAATGAAAACACAGTATCCTTATTTGTGTTATAGTCACATTTCCCTCACGGATAATATGAACCTAGTAATGCTTTAATAATTAGAGCCCAGCTTGGTCTGAGCACAAACACTGCAGTTTTCACTCATCAAGAAGTTTGAGCCTACTGTTTTATTTCTTGAAACATCTGTGTCTGGAAAAGTTTGCTCTGATGCTCCTTAAATTTTACAACCATACCTTCCCTTATAGAATTCAAATGACTGAGCCGTGTTCAACCTTGGTCCACCGCACTCAACTCTTGACATATGTAGAGATTAGATACATAAAATAGAGCAAAGTAAATCTCACCTTGCTGCAGGCATACAACTCTTAAATTCTAATTGCTTTCACATCTCATAAGCAACAGAAAATGGGAACTGAAGAGCACAGCAACATAGAGCAAACTGAAACCCTCTCGGCTCTCCGCATTAGACTGATTAGACTTCAACCAGAACAGTCTGGCCACTGCTAGGCACTCTTGCAAATCTCCCCCCTAGTGTTATTTGTAAATCCAGAGGTATAAATCACGTTAGGAAATGGGGGGCTGGGGGAAAGAGAGATGCAGAAAGCGTTGGCTTTTGTGGGGTAGTGAACAGATACCCTTTCAGAAGGGAGAGTGCCCAGCCCACACACACGTCTTGCTGCAAAAGGGCAAGAGTGCCTTGGAATGTGCTTAGAGCCAAGATCTGGCTTTGTATAGGCAGGGTGTGTCTTTGTTAATGAAAATCATGATAAAGAGCGAGAAAAATAAACAATGCAATTCCTTGAAAATGGGCAGTATGTACTGCTAACTGTACAAGCCTGTACTAAGCTTGCAGCAAGCCAAGCCGAGGACTCTTCTGCACGTTTTTACCTGCATAATGTTTCTGCTATTGCAAAGTTCTGTTTTACGAGGAAAGTTTTGCCTGACATGACATTATCTGAGTGCTGCAGAAGGCAGATGTCACAGCAAGCAAATGTTTCAATATATTCTCTTTCAAAGTCTCCTAATACCACAAAAAAGAAGAAATGTATCAAGTTACTAGAGATGAGTACTGGGCATTTCAAACACCCTGGGAAAAGTCTTCCTCCACCAGTCTCACGTACTCATTTCACAGAGATGGTGAATACCGCTATTTCCCTCCCCCTTCCCCTCTTAGCAAAGAAAAATAAAGGAGAGATTAATATGCAACCATATTAGCTCCATTATCAGCTGTTTATTCTGTTGCTGTTGAGCTGCCAGAGTCAACAATCTTTCTGAAATAAACCAAAACAGTGAAGTTTGCAAGTTCACTGTGCAAGTACAGATCTATCTTAAAGAAGGTTTAGGCTTTCAAGAAATCAACTGAAATATGGTAAGAGGATTTATACTGTACAACATCTTTTTTTATTAATGAAGTAATACTTTATAATTAATGAAGTAATAGTAATGAGCATAGGCAGCAATTCGTACCAATAAACCACTTCTGAGATCTCGTCTTTAAAAACCTGTTTTCCTGGCAAGAACACCTAGAAGAACAGGAACTTATAAATTATAAAGCCATTCTAACAAGCTAAAATTAAAAAGAAAGATGCATTTTGTTCAACATTTGTGAAACTTGCTTTACTTCACAAATTCTCAAAAAGAACTAGGAAATTGGGATCTTGATTCGTGGCTATACAAGCACTAGAGTAAGCGATGGAGAAGCCTGGAAATTAGTGCCTGATGAGAAACAAACAGACTTCCAGAGGTTAGGATATGCGGACATAGGAAGCACTCAGGACCAGGATGAGAAGCATCAGGCTGGCAACATTCAGCAATAGGCCAGAAGAGTTTACAAGCTGGATGAAGAATCTTCTGGCTGTACTCCAATACCCAACATGAAAACCAGGGCTTGAGGGTAATATGTTATTTTGTGTACTCCTGCTTACAGAACTTAGTAGGTCCTACGGGTAAAAGCAGCTGGGATCACGAATTTCAGCTCACACAGTGCTTTCTGCTCACAGACCTTAAAATGGTTTGCAAACGTTTTTAGAGGTGGTGAAAAGGAAGTTCAAAGCAGCGAATATAAGCTGTCCAACCTCACACAACCACTTAGAATAGCACTGTGGCTAGAAATTAATCTTCTGGCCAGAGCCCTTAGAAGTAAGTATCCTCATCTGACTGCATCCATTACAGTTTCAATTAATAGATTACCATGCAGACCATGCCAAAAGGAAAAACAGAGGAAAACTTTTCAAGTAACTTTGTGTGAAAAAACTGTCAGCAAAGCATAGAAACGATTGGCAAAAGCTAACCAAACAGGACACAGGAGGACACAGGACTGGGAGGACCTTCCGATTAAGAATGCACACCCCACCATGGCATAAAAGCACATCCATAAATATCAGTTTATGCCCTGCCTCAGGCCCCCAGCATTGCCTGCTGCAGCACCAGGAAGGAATCCTTCTCTCTGAACGAGCAGAAAGTAGACGAGCCCAGGAATAAAGAGATCACTACAGTATTTAAAGCTGTTAAGAGTGAAATCACTGAAGCATGAATAATTTGCAACTTAACAGGCATTTAAATATAGCCCTGCATATAACCGACGTTTAAATGTTAATGTGAATAAAACAGAACATTTGTGATTTATCAATCTTGCCATTTAAAAAAATATAGACTATAACCATTCAAATTAGTAAAATACTCACCGACACCGAAACATCCTCTATTTTTCTTTTAGCACTGGAGTCAAATAAGACATTCCGTCCTCTTCTTTCGCAGTCCTGATACACAATCAGTCGGATCTGACTTGGGTCAAATTCCGGCAAAGGCCAGCTTTAATTAAAAGATAAAAGAGCAGAAGGATCAATTACCACAACTCTTTATTACACTGTCCTTTCTATGTTTTCTGTATATACAACTATATTAAAACATAAAGTCGAGCAAATGCAATGACATTTCATCAGACCCTTTGATCCTGTAGCCAGAACTATGCTTTTTGTTTTTTTTTTCCCCTACACTTGCCAAATTACACTGGCATAAACGGCACCAATCCACTACAGCCATATGCAATGATGTGCGCAGCATTACCAGCTCTTGTGCTCTGTCTTGTGATATTTAATGTTTTCTTCAAGTTCCAGCTTTTTGTAATCAAGGTCATAGAAGAACTCAGCTTTTATGTTTAGAGACCCACCCCCCCCCCCCCCCCAAAAAGAGTCCCTCATCATTGCAAGCGCTAGCTTGAAAGCATTCACGATTCAAAAGCAAAAAGAAAAAAGGTATATATTCACACTGGCCTCTCCCTTAAGTAATGAATTTCTGCATTTGCAGTCATGGGTTTTCAGCCTCATGGTTTGGCAAAGCACTGAACTCCCCAGCTGAAAAAATGCAAAGTACCTTTCCTACCCTTCTTCAGGTTTCACAAACACTGTAGTAACATATGTGCATAGAACTAACTGCAGTATTACAAACGACAGCATTCATACTAATATATATGCTTTGATGCTGGGAAAAAGAGAGCCATGTGTAGCTTGGTCCTGACTATATACTCAGGTCCTCACTACATTCAGACTTGGAAATCATCTCCACTTATGCCACTGTGATTCAAGGCCATGCTGCTGCATGGGTCAGCAAAACACACACAGCAGTTCTAACACACCTACTCCCAAACTATTTTTGCAGTCAATAACAAGGAAAGGAGCATTCTTGAGCCTCTGCCTTCCCGAGTGTCACTGACTTCAGAGGAGCTCTGCAAAGGGAGAACTTGGAGGGCTCAGGCTTGAATACCATTGCCTTTAAGGGTGCTTTGTAGCCATAATCTTAAATTCCCATTTTAAAAAGCCAGCCATGACTTTAAAACCCAGCAAGCATTGTTGCCCATGGACTTGGGAATCCATTTTCACCGATACCTTCTCAGTTCTTGGGAGACAGGAAACAAGACGCCTCCCCTATCCATGAAACCAACAGCAATCATCTTCCAGCTGGTTACAAGCCATTTCCTTAATCAAGTGAAATTCTATCTTCCTTATCCTTGCCTTTTAGGCAAGCAGCATTAGCATGAAACCCCAAGAAGTGAGAAACGAGGCCCTGGAACTTTCCAGCCATTAATGAAGGATACAGGCTCCCAGTTTACAAGGAGCTGTACATTTATTTCAGCAAAGAGACGCCCATAAGTGATAATACGGACTGAAGTAAACCTGGCATGCTAGACTCCAAGACTATGGTAAATTTTCCTCTCCTCTGTCCCCCTAATTCACCAACCAAAAGGTTTCCTTCTCTGTGCCCATGCTTTATGTGATCAGTATGCTAAGGACATTTGTAACCCAACAACTTCTATAATAGGTCACAGCAGAGAATCAATTTGATCACCAAAGCCATGGTTGCCTATCAGAAGTTTTTAAGACTGTCCAATATAGATTCACAGGCTTTACAACTAGTGTAGTTCCAGTGAGGTAAAACTAAGCACCAAGACATACAGTTACTTGGTCTCTTGAGAGAGGAAATCCATTTCCTGATCTGCTCAGCCCCACCATTTAGCAACAGGAGAGAAAAACAGAAGCTGCAGAGAAGATAGTGTGCAACAAATGTCAAAAGCAACTTATTACAAAAAAAGCTTGAGCAACTTGAAACTGAAATAACTTGATGTCTAGATTCGGGGGCAAAGCCACGCACCCTCTCTCTTTGGGCACCTAAAGCCAAGCATCGTCCACAGAGGGACATGCCCACATGAAGAACAGACTGCAAACTGGGCCAATTCTGTACCGAAAACCAAGCACAGTGACAAACTCAGTGCAGAGCATACATTTACCGGGGGCTCTGCTAATGAGCCCCACCTGGCATTTCAGAAAATGTAAGAAAACAAAATCCATATTGTTTGATGCATATTTGGAGTGTTATCAACTGAGAGGCTCAAAGGCACTAGAGCTGGGGACAGTTACTTGTAAGAACCTGACTTCAGCTGGAGGTGAGGAGGCAAGTGAGACCGCTGGATAAACTGGCTTCCTGAAGGAACCATCTTTTTATATTTAAGTGAAATCGATGGAAGTCTGGAAGCTCATTTTATAGGCCACTGTGGTTCCTATAAAGAAACAGTGTGTGACAACAACAACGAATTGTTTGCCAAAAAGGTGCTATCGCTTGCTCCACCCTTGCAGTGCATTTGAATTTCCTTCACACTCAGACAAAAGCATGTCTTCCATTACCTAGTACTTTTGATATTTGACTTTGAAATTACTGGCAAAGAAGGGCAGTAGCTGTTCCAGATCTTAGCAAAGTCTGCTTATAAAAAGCTCCAAGAGCAGATTACACACTAAGAGGAGAGAAAGCTAAATATAAAACTCTTGCTGTATTCGGAAACATATTTGATCAAGGTAACAAGAGCTTGTTTACTTCTCAGCTTCTTCACATGACATTTTAACTTTCTCTAGACAAGCATTTAGTAGATATTATCCATCATAATTTGTGATAATTCCAAATAAGCGTTATCTCTGTTATGTAATAGAGTCCTTAAGCACATTTCAGCCTTGCAAAAATATTCCCTGGCAATAGCGGGCCACTTCCCAAACCAGAAGAAACTTTAAGAGTGCTGGGGGAAAGTTCATTTAGACAGACAGTAAACAGAGGCAGGCTGGCACCTCCGACTCGGCCCCACCACCTCCCAGTGAGGAGGAAGCTGGACACAGAGTAGCTTTGCTTTTGTTGTTAGAGCTTTAAAATACCGTTAAGCTTGATATCTGGATAGATTATCCCCAGAAACACACAAATTCCTGCATGCAATACGGAGGGCATGTTCTCAAAACAAATATAACAGGGCAATACTCCAGCGCTGTTCTTCAGGCGGATGAAAACTGACCTAGATCTTCTGAATATAATTAGTTCTGTTTATAAATGGAAACCAACTTTGACATTTAACTGATGTTTTCTTGAGATTCTTATAGGAAAACCAGGAGACGTAGAATCAAATGTTCTAGCACTGTTAATGAAAGGTGAGTCTCCATCTCCCACACTGTTCTGGAAATGACGGTTCTCTTAATGAGGACTTTCTGCTGTGTGACCTATCTATCACTCTTTGATCTTTCCTTGAAACTGATTATATTTAAAGAAAAGAACAAACACAAAAACCACCAGCAAGAAAACCCCAACAATCTTTTCACCAGTGGAAGTGTTTGTGACTTTGCCTTACAGTTAGTGCTGTGAGGTCACACGTCAAGCAAGAGAAGAAACAGTGATAAATTATTTCTGAGCAGGACACCAGTCCTATGGAGATCTCCACTACACAAACAGTGATTCCTCTAGAATGAGACGTTCAGAAATACCTATATGCATAGAATGGGGTAGAAATCCGTTGATGTATAAATGCTGCGTGGGATATTTCAGAAACAAATCATGTAAAACCAGATCTCACACAATCACAGACTGGTTGAGGCTGGAAGGGACCTCTGGGGGTCATCTGGTCCAACCCCCCTGTGCAGATGCTAATGCAAGTACAAAGCACAAAAGGAAAGGAATTATTCGGGACAGAAAGGCAAACTTCCACATGAATAAAGATTAAATTATTAGAAACTAATAATAATGAAATCAAGGCCTGAAAAATGATATTTTAATGCATGTTCATACCTAAGCCCTACTATGGTTCAGCTTTTCTCCTCTTTCATCCGTTTTGTTTTCCTGCCTTTTTTTTACCTTCAACCACTAGGAATATTATTTATAGTTTACATTTACAGATCCATTACATGCTTCCTGACACCTGTACTGCAAGTTGCATGGCAATCCAGAAGTCAAAATGCTCTCCAAGGGTGGATTTTCTCATGTATCTAATTCCTGGAGTTTATTGCTACCATAGGCGTTTCTCAGCAAGAGGCAGCTGAATGGCTTTAAATTGGTATTATTATACTCTGTGCAAGTCTTAATAGATAAAATGACAGACGCAGAAATCCTTCATTACCACTCTACCAATTAAAATACAAGATTTTCCCCTGTAATTGAAAGCAAGTACATTCCTTCCTCCTTGTTTCCACTACAACACGAACAGCACTTCTTCATTACATTAAAGGTTTAGCTTAATACTATTTTTCCTCCTGCTTGAGACTTTACTTTTAGAACTATTTCATATTAACACAGCTTAGATAGTATCCAATTACTTTTTAATAATTAGCATAGATATTTTAGAAGTCTTAAAGAGAAGCAATTGAAGCAAACCGATCAAGATATTAAGCAGGTAGGAATTGTAGAAGAGTTTGCTAAAAAGTAAAGTTGCTCAAAACCAGAATATGACTAATCATTGAAAAAGTAAATTGAAACTATCAGTCAAACTATTGTTTTCCTACATCATGTTACCCATAGTTATAAAAACTGCCTGGTGATGAATCACTTGGAACTATTTTTAAATGCATCTACGCAAATGATATTTATAGTTTATGCTAGCTTATCTGTCCTGCGTGTTTTTCATGTTAGCACCTTTTTAAAAGGCTGACAGGAACAGCCAGGGCAGAGCAGACGGCAGGTCCACCTTGCCCCACGCCCTCCTCGCAGGGCTCCGCGTGGAAGGAAACGTCTTCCTTTACTCCTATTAGACGAGCATCAGAACAGAGGCATAAGGATCCCCAGGGCTTATCTCCAGCTCCTGCAGATGATACTCTTCATGTATTATCGTTGTTACAGTAGTGCTTAGACCCAGCCAACTTCTACGGGAGTGCTGCACAGAGGCTGTCCCCGTCTTGAAGAGCTTACGCTGCAAATACGAGACCGTTCCACTGGGTGCATTGGGATATTTCAGATGCAGATTATCTCCATGTTCCAGAGAGATGTACGTTCACATCGAAGCATGCTCACCTGTA